GATCCATGACAGCTGTGTCTTGGTGATCCGCAGATAAGGGAGTGTCAAGCTTCTGGGAACCTTTGCTCTTTTCATTCTTCTTCTTGCGATTCAGCGACGCGTCGTTGTAAACTGGTTTGGTCAACACGATTTCGCAAACTTCATCATTGAACTTGGCAACAAAGCGATCAATACCAGGCTCTTTCTCGAAAGCCAAAGACCAGGTAGTCAAGCCCGTGCTGCGCCAACACTTCATGGGGATGGGAGCCACTTTGCATGCATGGCAAGTTGCGCGAACCACTTCCGATGCCTGAATCGCGCTGGGCCATCCAGTTGAGTGCAACGTCACGCGAGGGACAACAGTGAGATTTTGGTCAGTCAAACGGTCATCATTACTCAACAGAACCTTCCTAATGTTAGCAATGTGCGATGTCCATGCTCTCACTGCAATTCCACGCCGGGTGATGCAAAGCCCCCCAAATCCAACTATGCCTGAGGCTGTCTTGGCGGCGTTCTCTCGGCCCGTCTTGTTGACTTCAAAGAACTTGGGGATGGTGGAGAGGTCCAAAATTTCACCTCCCTTTGGGACAAAATCCCGGAAGAAAACTTCTTTAATGCCGGACTTTTCGATCAGCGACTTTCTGTGCCGCTGGGCAACTTTGAACATCGCCTGGTGCAGAACGTAGTCACCATTCTTAATGGCCCTATACCCATAGACGTTGATTCCTTTGACAGTGGCGGCAGGAAGGAGAGAGTCAAGTCTGGCTTTGATTTGTTCAACAGCATTGTTGGCATAGGCTGTTGACAATTCTTTGTTCAAACACCTTGAATCAATTTCAACCACAATTTCACAGACCTTGGGCAACTTGGCAGTGTAGTCCGGATTTGGCGGCTTGTGACTGAATGCATCATTGATCTGTACAATGTTGGCTTGTCGTTTGTACATGGTGTTGGTGGTCGGGTCGCACACAGTGAGTTCAAAGGGGCCATCCATCTTCGGCGGGGTCACTGTGCGAAGTGGGACTTTGTCCCCAACGGGAATGATCAGAGCTGCAGGTTTGGTTGGTGGATTCTTCATAACTGACTCCACATTGTTTCTGGTGCAAAAGGCCAAACCTCCCTGTGCAATCTGCAAGCGGTGAACCTGGGAAACAGCTTCGCCATTTTTTGTCACGAAGGAATGATCAAGGGGCAGCTTGAGATCTTCCCATTTGGAAAGCTTCACACTTTTCTGTCTTGTCCAAGGATCGTATCTTGTCCAAGGATCACTGGTTTCATCAGGTTCGCCCATGGCCTGGTCATTTTGGTTCCCGCTTCTCCCTGCTGGCGGATCTTGATGAAAATCCCCGGCTCCAAAAAAGGCTTGGCGGATCTTACATGCAAAAAGTGCAGTTGAAGTCATGGTGATTGTTTCCGAAAAAATGGTGTCACTGATCGCATCTTTGCAGGAAAGAAACGTTTCAGGAAACTGGTGCTGAGTTTCCTTGGACCAATTCTTCAACAAAATCCAACCGCAGAACCCATCATCGACTGGAATGATGGTATGCTTGCACCGTGCAATGAGGCCAACTGAATGGAAGGCACTGGTCACTTCAGTCATGAAATCATCACGTCGGAAGCCATGTGGAAAATTGATCAGGGCGGTCTCAAACACAAAGGATCCCGGGACATTCGCAGCATCAACAGCAACCCAATGAGTGTCCATGAGGATGGGAATGCAAATCCTAGCAACAGATCGCAAATCAGGTACGGAGTTCAAGGCGGCTACAACTTGATTCTTTAATGCACCGACACAAGGATTGGATTTTACCTGAAACGGACTGCAAATTGCAAAGGCCGGATTTGAAACCTTCGATGCGAACCACGCGACTTCATCCAAGGCAAGAGCAAGGCCATGTGATTGTGCGACTGCAAGTCTGGCATTCATGGCCGGGTCGATCTTCTGCTTTTTGCAGCAGGGCTGGCTTGTCCCACCACAGAGTTCAGGAGCAGAGGAATGAAGGAAATCCCCTTCCTGGAGCATGATGGGCCTTTTGGACGCAAACAAATTCCCGTTGAGGAACAAATTTTCCTCTTCGAGTCCAAATGTTTGCTTCATGCTTTCACCGCTGGCCATTCTCGGCACGCTAACAAGTTTGACATGACCACTTGAATCAGCAAAGGCAACATCAACTTTCACAACCGGGATGCTACGCAAGGAAAAACCAACAACAGGAAGTCCAAGCACTTGCACAACGACTTCATGGCAATGAAACCACCGAATGCTGTTTGCATCTTTGCTGCAAGAGGAATGCAAAACATGATGCCTGATTTGGTCCTCCACACCGTTCCTTTCATCAATCTGCGCGAAAAACGGTGGGGACTCATGTGTCACAAAACAAAACATGCGCTGAGGTGCTTCATCAATATCACTCAAATGAAATTCAAAGGAGTGTTCACTCGCTTCCTCATCATCACGGATGGTTGCCGGAACTACATCCAAGCTTGCAACTGTTTCGATGTGACAATTCCACTCAATCTTGAAGCTCCAAATAGGTTCAGCACAGCAACACAACAAAACAGAGCTTCCAATGAGTGACGTGAGGACAGTGTTGCGATGGATCTGCTCATTGCGAAAAACAAACCGGCATTCCAGACGCGTTTCATGAGAGAAGCCCATATACCCAAGAAAAACATCAAGCGTGGCACAGCTTTCAATCAGAAAAACAGCATACCTGGAAATGATTCTGAGTTCAGATCCTTTGGTCTTCAATTTCAGCAAGGAGACATCACGTGCAAAGCAAACATGTGGCAGGATCCAAATGAACCTTTCCGACTCCAGGACAAAGCAGTTTGACGGCTTCAGGCGGTCTTGCCATGCACAAATGACAAGTTCAGCGATTGGCGACTGGAAAATACCACACATGTTGAAAGCTACCAGGAGACCCAGCAAGGCGTGTTGCACTGAAATGGCATTACCAAGATGCTTAAAGGCTACCGACACATCCCAATGAATCGCGGCAGTTGTGGTAACATGGGCACCTAGAAACGCAAGGCATCGCACAGGGTCAAGAAAGAACCAAGAATCCTCATTCCTAACCAGGACTGCAAAGATACCCTCTCACGCATGTGATGCATGGCCAGCTCATGTTGGCGTGCATAACTGTCACAAATGGTCGGCAAGGTTTGACCAGGCAAAATCTCACGGAGCTTGAGGCATTGTTCAAGGGAAGACCTTTCGGGGAGAAACCGTCGACTGCCCAAAGGAAGAAACAAAGGATCCCCATAAAACATCAACAGCCGATCACTCAATCTCAGTTGGTCCCGAACACTCGGTGGGAGTGAAAAATTGAAATCCGGGTGATCCCAAGTGGTGCCATCGGCTCCCTTGAGAGAGAAACAACCTACCGCGGGGTGAATCTGTACATCGTGCCTAATCCAAATAGCTATCCAGCGTTTTCGTGACATGCCCGTCAAATGCGTCAAATCACTGACAGCCGACCAAGCTTGGACAAAACCAGCAAATCTCAGGGCGGCTCTAATGACAACAAAGTGTGGATGCTGCGGTACATTGTCATCATCCTGAATGATCACGCTCACAGGCCTGCAGATCAGAACGCATCTAACCAGCTCCAAAAAGGTCATTCCATTGTCGCTGTGCAAGCCAGTCAAGAGCCCTCCATGGGACCAAGGCTGACAAGGAGGGCTAGCTGTGAGAATCAGATTGTCACTACCACGGCAGAGATTCATCCAACAATGATTCTGAATGGGACCACAAAAGGATTGAGTTTTGGCCAACTCAGCCCTCAAGGACACGCGATCGAAGAAAACATTTGTAGTCCACTGCGCGTTCCAGACACGAAGTGCCAATTCATCAACATCAACACACGTGGTGCTGGCAAGTTCGACCTTGTTCTTTGAAACAAGCCAGTCACAAGCTCTCCCCCACCCACAAAAAGAGCCGGAAAAGAGGTGCACAAAGTGGGGAGGCGCGTTCTTCTGGAAATCAGAAATCTTCCACAGGACACTCTCAGCCGTCTCCTGGAAACACTGATTGCTAACTTTGAAGCCCATAAAACCAATCCAGTCTCCAACAGCCAAACCTTCGACAGGGGGAGATTCAATCATCGCATTCTTCTGATCACGAGGAAGGGTGATTCCATCAAAAGGAACAAAGTCACACATCAAACAGGAGAAACCCGCATCAAAGACTTCATCAACCTTGCCCCAGTGGATTCCCTCCAAGTCGGTGAGGAGAGATGAAGCTCTATGACTCCAAGGTGGGTCCAAATGACGTGAAATCATTTCCAGCATCTGATTCATGAGGCCAGCAAAAATCACGACAAAGTCCAGAGATCTCAAGTGCCGCACAACCAAACGAGGATGCCAAAGGCTTTTTAGACGGTTAACCGATTCTATGAGAAAGTGGCAAACCCCTGGGGTCCTCGGCTCCCTCAGGCAAATGCTGTTGAGCCAGATGCCTAAAAATATTAGTCAGTTGGGATTATTATTCCCAATATATGGAAAGTCAAAAAAATCATGTTCCAAACCACCACTCAGTATTTCAAAGGTAAGGACCCCATTGACTCAACGGAAATCCTTTCAGATTTCTACCAAGTCTGAACTGTTTTTTCAATGCCTGCTGAAGAAAAAAAACAGTTTTTTTGGCATGAAATGGGCTTCCCATCTTTTTTGGAAGACCATTACTGCCATATTTCTTGATAGTCCCAAAACTGCCAAATGCCACCATGTTTCATTCATTGTCAACCTCCAACCGGAAGACCTTCATTCGTTGGGGGGTCAACATATTGGAAGCTCCGCCCTGGTCATGGAACCAGACAAGTACTGTGATTGATCATTGTTTGCTCCAAGAAAATCGCCATATCTTGAAAGTAAATGCCATATTCTTTTGACTAAACCAATATGCCATGCCAATCATTTATAGTTGCATATAGTTGCCATTTGTTTAAAGCCGGTTGGTATATTTGCTATATGATTTTTATACTATCCGCTATTCTCCTCACATGCAACAGCCGAGCAACTGTCACTCGTCCATTCTCCAGCGTGCTCAGCGACACCAACAGCGCAGGAGAAACGGAGTCTCCGGGCACGCGGCACCTGCCGTGGAATCGTTGAAGTTACCAAGAACCTGCCCAGTTAGGATTATATAATTGTGTGTATATAGGGGTTTCCTAAAATGGGGGTACCCCCGGTTATCATCCATTTTAGATTGGGATTTTTCCATGAACCATACATAACTTGGGGATTTCCCAGTCCGGCGTCATGTAAAAAAAAACACTACCCTACGGGACTGGGAAAATTTTACGTGTTGGATCATCGGAAAAACATATTTTTTACGTGTGACGTTTCAGTTAACATAATTTTCCAGACATGTGGTCGGTACACCTGGTTAGTGAAATAATATAATTTACCCAGATTAATGTGGATGATATACCATTATTCTGGGTAAATTACAATAATTCACTAACATGAATCTTGCGGCTATTTGGGGATGATTTCCTGTAAATTAACCATGATTATAGTGAGGGAGAACAGTGAGGTCGTTATAATTTACCCAGAGATATTTATACATATATATATATACCTATATGATTATGTAGTATGTACATAACAAACATTAACAAACCATGCACTGAAGGTTTAATATGGTTCAATTCCTTGTTACATTCCCATTAAACCACCATGAAATCCCATTAGATCACCATTAAACCTCCATGAAATCCCATTACCATTCACCCCCATGAAATCACCCTAAATTTTCCTCCATCAGATCGCCCGAAAAAAAGAAAAAAATCGGCAAAATTCGGCCTCTTTCGTGGCGCCCATCTGGCTGCCAGGCAATGACGTTCCAAGACCTGGAGATATAACACTGTTAATAAGGATTAGTACAAGAATGGTACTATTAGTAGTTTATACTAGATATGGTACTAGATTATTGGTAGTATATGTACATAATTTTCCAGATATGATATATATTCCTATATGTTTATATAGTGCAATAATGGTACTAGTAATTACAATGGTATCATTTTAGTAGTACCATTATACTACTAGTATACATATATCATAAGCACCATTAGTGTACTACGATATACAATGCTCAGTGCTATATGTGGAACATTATCAATGGGTAAGTATTGGCCTAATCATATATCTATCTATATATTAGTACACATGAAAAGAATTAATGATTATCATTATATGTACATATACAGTAATAAGTAATAAGTATTACACTAATACTGGTAGAAAAGTACACACAAAAAAGTGCTAATTATTACATGGTATATAGCACTTATAATTACACTAATCATTATTAGTAGTACATACAATAAAATATTATCACATCATGTACTGATGATGATTAGTACTGGTATATAAAATTAATAATAAATACATTTATTTCATACTAAACCATGGAACATCATTAGTGAAAAAAATGTTTGAATGCATTATCTTCATGGGAACATGTTTGTGAGATTTAACCGGAACATAATCATGGTGTGTGTATTTATATATATATATATGGCTATGAGTCAAAGCCCTTGTAGCCTAGGTATATACCCGAAAATATGGTTATTACCCCCACCCCACCCCACCCCACCGCACCCAATATGCGTGACGAAGCACATCCGCAGCATAGCATCATAAACCGTATCACCCCCACCCCACCCCACCCCTCCCCATCGGAGAAGTCCTAGCCCCTCGGGTATACATACATATTCCATTATATCCCAATGAAATGTTTGGTATAGTAACTCATTTGAACCTGTATTGAACCAACATCTGGGAAGCAACCTTAAGATAACCCAGAACCCCCCTGCCTCGCTGCAACATCCCAAGACTGTGCCCACACTTTCCGGACGGCGCCGAACACGGCTCCGTGCAGGACAGTCCTCCTGCCATGGTCAAGTTACATGGGATGAACTGGTCATGGTTATCCCAGAATTATTGGGAATCCCAGTAACACAGTAATTATTGGGTAGATTACAGTACCCTCTGGTAAACTACCATAACTATGGAAAATCACCATGTTTCATGGGTAAGTCCACTATTTCTATGACCATTTTCGATAGCAAACTGTGACATAACCAGAGGGTAAGCCCTATGGATGGCCATCCCCCATATGGGGTGTGAGATCCAGACCCTTCATCATGGAATATTGGGGATGTGCCAGGTGAACAGGTACCCAATTTAACGACCCTCAAAAAATGGCCAAAATGGCCAAAATGGCCAACGAAGCAGCTACGAGTCGTGGGAGAATCCTCTGTTTGTACCTGCCTAAAAAAAAAACGTTTAAAAAAAACGTGAAAATATCCTCATGAAATATCCCCATGACATCCCCTTTATATCCTCATTATATCCGCATTACATCCCCATCCATGACATCCTCTTTACATCCCCATTGAATATATGTTACATCCCCATTATATATCCGTTATATACCCATTAACCATTGATTATTTTACCATAGTTTGCCCATTACAACCCTAATTGTTGTTGATGTCCCATTGTATCCCCATGAGATCCCCATAAATTACTGGGTCAACCATCACCCTCCAGTAATCAAACATGGTTTGCCCACCATGGTAGATTACACCGGGTATCAACTAATTCTTGGTTATATAAGTTATATAACGTTATACACCTCCTTCTATCCCATGATATCCCCAGTAGATATCCCCATTGAAATGCCTAATTGTTGATGATCCCACTACATCCCCATGAATTCCCATGAATTGGTGGCTCAACCATCATGTATCAACCAAGTGATTCAAGGCCTTCCCTCGGTCCCAACAAAGAGTTACCTCCTTGGCCCACCACACGCGCAGATTGCCGCCACCATGGACTGAGGCCAAGAAGCCTCAGTTCTTGAGATCCATTAGTAGTCATTGAGTCATCAACAGGCATGGAGAATAATCATAATAGTTCTTATTAGTTGTGATATAATAGTTTGTGCTAGTTGTTAGTTAGTGCTAGTTATTAGTTTATTGCTTCACGCCGGGGATAGAGGCGCTGAGGAATTTAGCATTTTTCTTTTTTTCAGAGATGTTGATGATGTTGATATTTATGTTCACGGTACCTTTTGCATGGGGTGGAGTGGGGGGGGTAGGGTGGGGTGGGGCTAATAACCTGCAATCGTCTACGTTCTTTGATTCTCCGTCTTGCGCTTCCCATAGTAATTTCCAACACGCTCTTGCTTCTATGCTATGAACAGAAGAACATCTTAACACGCTCGTGATGTTACCTTCTTGCACTTTCTATAGTAATGTCCAATACGCTCTTGCTTCTTCACACGCAGGTGGCGTTACGTTCTTGCACATTTGCACTTTCTATAGTAATTTTCTATAGTAATTTCCAACACATTCTTGCTTCTACGCTATGAACAGAAGAACATTTTAACACGCTCGTGACGTTACGTTCTTGCACATTTGCACTTTCTATAGTAGTTTCGAACCACGCTCTTGCTTTTACGCTATGAAAAGAAGAACATTTTTCCACGCTCGTGCCGTTACGTTCTTGCACTTTCTATATTAATGTCCAACACGCGCTTGCTTCTACTATGAACATGAGAACATATTAACACGCTCGTGATGTTACGTTATTGCACTTCCTTTAGTAATTTCCAAAACGGCCTTGCTTCTACGCTATGAACATGAGAACATTTTAACACGCTCGTGATGTTCGGTTGTGGCATTTCCTATAGTATTTCCAATACGATCTTGATTCCTTACATAATGACTATTGCGTGCGAAGCTGAAAAGCACCAGCGCCGCTATCCCCGGCGTGATCTAGTTATTAGTTAGTGCTAGTCAGTAATAGTCATTAGATGTCATTAGTAACATTAGTAGTCATTAACAGTCAGTTGATACATAATACATACTTGTAATTACCCGTACTTGTATCACAAAGGATATACCATCTATTCAGCTCCAACCATTCCATTTGATCCTGACATCAGGCATAGCATCTTACAAGGGGATATAACAGTGATATAACTGGCTTTTGAGACGGTATAACTACACTTGAACATCTATCTGGATACTTACAATAATCTGGGAAATTTTCATCACGACCTCACTGCTCTCCCTCATTATAATCATGGTTCGGATTCGGGAATTCATCCCCAAATGGCCTTAATTATTCTTAATTCATGTTAGTGAATTGTTGTAATTTACCCAGAATAATGGTATATCATCCACATTAATCTGGGTAAATTATAATATTCCACTAATCTGAATCTTGCGGCCCATTTGGGGATGATTCCCCTATAAAAACCATGATTCCCAGTGAGGGAGACCAGTGAGGTCGTGATGAAATTTACCCAGATTAAATGGTATATGAAATTAACATACCATTTATAAACCAATTTAATAGTTAATTTACCATTATTGTATATGATCCACATTAATGGTATATTTATGGTATATGAAATGGTATCGACCTGAAAGACCTGAAAAACCTGAAAGCTTCGGCTACAGCACCATCATGGAACCAAGGCGCAGGTCATGATTCAATTGATCCAGATCTATCTATGCATGGAACCAAAGGTGATCAACAAAAGTTGGAGATATAGAAGTTGGGTGCATTCCTGTTTCTTGAAGTACAGAATCCGATTCAAGAGTCAAGCTAACGAACCCAAGGCATGTTGAACGAAACCCTCCAATCAAACAAACAACATCAAACAACAAAAAAGGATCCAATGATGGTAGCAATTTCCAGCCCGAAAAAAAAAAGTGGTTCTGACCTTTCTCACCCACCTTTCGACCAAGCCACGTTCAGAGGTCTCCTGGCTCAGCATCACCAATACATTCACCATCAATGGCTCAAAATGCTGGATGCAGACTTTATATGACTTTATACTATATACCTCTGGTTGTCTACCGCAAAGGGCACTTGCGCACTTGCCCCGTCCCGTCCATCTGCAGTTGCACGATGGGCGGCTCACCCTTCGGCAGCTTCTGCACTTCGCAGCGTGGTGTATCGCCGCTTAAACCGCGCACCAGCGGGCAAGCACCTGCAGAGTCCCAGGTCAGGACGCCCTTGTTCTCTGGGTACCCGAAACGATTTTATCAAACATGGCGGGAAAATCCCACATGGGGTGGTCATGTTCCAGCTAGCCATGTTTGATGGCACCAGAGGCTAGTAAAGAAGTAGAGTCCGCCGATTGTGAATGATGTATAGAGGTTATTATATATATACACACTGTATATATGTGTTGAAAAATGTTGAAAGTGTTTGTCAGAAGCATGGAGCAGTTAAACATATATTCGCTGTAAGCGGCGAAACTTTGGTTTGCAACCCTGATTTGATTACACTAACATGTATATTATTACGTATGTAAACTCAGTGTGTGGTGTAAACCATATTCACCGCCAGTCTCGACTGTCAAGACTTGCTGACCTTGCTTCGTGCCTCACATCCTTCCGGACAGAATCTCGCTCATCACCCCAATATCACAAACGAGAGGTTGAAATCAAAGTTTGTCCAAGCAAAGCCCACATCGAGAATATCCCACTACTGTATATATATATAAGCTACATGAAAGATCATAAAAGTGGTTGCAACCACCAAACAGTCTAGAAGAGCATCAGCCCTCGCCCAATCAGCTCCCTGCATTGTTTTGTAACCGGTCGACGGCCTGTGAAGAAACAGGCCGTGCTTTGCCATAACAAATTCTTAGATGACCTGATTCCCAGTAGTTTCCCCAACAGGCAACTCCCCAACCGCGGCACACAGCATCTCTCCCCCCAGCAGCAGCTGATCGCGCGCCCAGCACACGGCTGGCAGCGGCGCGACGTTTTCGTCGTTTCCGAAGAGCTCGCGCTCCGTCAGGGCGGCGTGGCAGCGAAAGGTGGGGCGGTCCACCCTGGTAGCGCAGGAAGATAATTTCAAAATTTACATACTTAAAGTATATCTCAAGTAAAATTACATACGTATTATACATATCATTAGATACAACTGTAATTACATACTTAATTTACATACATATCTTAAGTAAAATTAGAAAATTACATATTATAAAGATACTTAAAAGTATATCTTACATGGTAATGGGAGCTGTAACAACCCTGAATGCTGATCCCCAGACGGGCTTCCATCTATATAAAAATATCCCAGGTTTCCTGGTTAAAACCCACTATTTTGCTGGCTTAAACCACTTTCAACCCCGCTTGAAATTCCCGGTTTTCCGAAAACCTGATTGGACCTGACTCCTGCGGTTTTCGGGGGAGAGTCGGGCGGCTACCAACACCGGACGGTAGAAGTGAATCGGAGGCCAATACGTAAAAATAATGTCAGGATTCAGGTGATGATTGTCATCATGGCTATGGCTCAAAAATAGGGCACCAACGGAGGCACAACAAGATTGTTATTCTTTGACATTCTTGGTGCTTAATAATCCATGTTTGGAATATAGCACTGCCCCTGATTTTTTACATCAAAATCGCCAGTATATAGTTGGATGATGTTGGATGTTCATCAACAAAAAACTGAAAAACATATTGAAACAACTGATACCCTCTGGTAATTTGTTACATAGCTATTGAAAATGGCCATAGAAATAGTGGATTTTCCCATTAATAGCATGGTGACTTTCCATAGCTATGTAAACGTTTACCAGAGGGTATTCCCTTGTGTCTTGATCAATAAGCCGGAAGAATGGTCCCACTGGGCTTGGGTTTATGGTGAAGTCCCTGACCTCTCAGAGGTCAAGATATGGATCCGGCTGCCACCACGGGAAGTCAGCAGAGCCAACAGCGCACGACGCGGATGCCATGCCTTATGAAAAGGTCAATTTGAAGGGGTTTATACCAAAAAATGTGGGATTTAGCATAGCAAACCCAAAAAAAATACAATGGCGAAAGAATAAGTAAAATACTGACAGCTGAAACTATACACCAAGAATCTGGAATTTAAACACTGGAACTGTGAGTTTCACCACCAAGAAGATGGATTAAACATGATTAAACCACCGAACAAATGGTTTAAACACCAAAATTGTGGGTGTATATACAACAAGGGTTGGTAAAAACTAAAAGTTAAAACAAATGTTGCTCTAAAGATCAAAATCTAGGTTTTACCGCAAAAATATTGCTGTTGGATGTTGTAGGCCCTTAGAAAGTTAGTTCAACCACCAATATGACAGGTTTCTTCGCCAAACGTGGAGCTTACGAAGTTCGACCACCATACAGGTGCATTTGAACAAGAAAACGGTGTTTTGCTCGTCCTTACACTGAGCACAAGATGCACAAGGTTCAGCTACAAAAACCAGACCAATACGAAATAACCATCAAAATTGGTTTTTATTTAAGCAACAAATCACGGAATACAATTGGATATCAAACGAGTGAAGTTCCACTGGTTAATTGTGTGCCCGTGTTTTTGCGGGAACGATGCATTGATGTTAGCATATGTCAAGCCGCAAGTTTCACCAAAAACCATCAGGAGCACACATGAGTATGGTATGGTTCAAAATGAAATTCTCAAAATCTGGAATATATGAAGGGTGTCCTGAAACTAAGCATGCGAAAAAGAATGGATAAAAAGAAAAAGTACCAGTAATAGAAAGACTCTGTACCTTCAATGTTTCCAAAGAATTGGCTGCAGAACTCCCATGTCGTTTGCTGCTTACAGATACCATCCCAACTAAAATAGACCATGACAAAGCTAAAAGGGCTGTTGCACGACTACCCCCTGGGGAGGATGGAAAATCCGTTCGGCACATAGCGGGTCAGCTCACATTCCCCAATTATTGGGTGGGATACTCCTTTCTATAAACATCAACCGCAAAAACTCTCGATGTATTCCCATATGTTGCTAGACGACATGTTAATTGCGCTGGAACCTATGGAGAATAAGCAATCAATCAACAACCAAAGAAATGTCACCAAACTACAAACCCTCTGATTTCTCCTTATCAGCATGTGTTTTTCCCAACTATCCACTTATCAGGCTGGCTGAATTGTAATGATTCACCAAGCTGATTTTTTCCGGTCATGTTAGGATGATTCCCTCCAGGATGGGGCCCCCAAGATAGCGTTCAGTTGCCCTGTAAGTTGCTGAATTCTATGGTTCATGGTAGATATATATATATATATAACATCCCCTCAACTACTAGCAAGGGACCCCTGGGCCCCCATTCCAGACCTTTTGCATAGGTCTGAAGTGGAGGTCTGAAGTGGTTACACCAAGGTATTAACATGTGTTAACAACACCTGGGTCTAGAATGATAAAATGAACCCCTGGAGGACAAAAAGGTCTAGAATGCTGGGTCTGAAATGGTTTGTCAGCATTAAAATGGTGGGGTCTAAAATGGTCTGCCATCACAACGGGCGCCAGGTCTAAAATGGTTTAACATCAACCTCGGAAATCCTTGGAACCGACAGTTGTCGAGCAGGCCGACATGCATCGACATGCCATGACATAATATAAACATGCCATAACATGCCCATCAAGTCTTGTCGCATTTTTTGAGGCCCGATCACATCCCTGCCCATCAAGTCTTGTCGCATTTTTTGAGACCCCATCTTGCCCAATGCAAGTCGCTTTGAAGAACGGCCACCTGTTTTGACACATTGCCAGTGCATCACAGCTTTCGTGACACACTTGGCATCCCAAAGGCCACTATTTAGTGGCAAAGTATACGCAGGAAAAAGCAATGCCACCAAAAGATACCAAAACATAACGAAACATGTCTAGATTTTAATGTTTGAAGAATATGGACAGTAAGCCAAAACCAAAAAAGGTAATTTGGTGTTCTGAGCCTTGCGCGCAACAAAAAACTGAACCTACTGGCCCTCATCAGCTTCGTCTTCGTCATCAGTGTCTGGATTTGGCGGCTGAAACCTCATGTTTCGAACAGATTCAAATAAACATCATCAAATATATGGATTTTTATTATTCAAAACCTAATGTTTTTGATTTCTGATATGCTGTGCGCATAGAATGTTTCAAAATGTTTATCCAAGATACCCTTTCGTTTCTGCCAGCTGTGAGGAGTTGATGAGCCAAACAAGCTCATGGAGACTCTTCGATTTGTAGTCTTTCGTGATGGATTTTTCAATCTCTGCAAGCCAGGACTGCACACGGGAACCCCACAGCACCTTCTTCTTGACTTGAATGAGGTAGGAAGCAAAGAAATGGCCCGCCTTGGCCTCCAACTCAGCCAAAGTCACAGTTCCTTTCTTACCTTGGTAAGCAAACTGCACGTTGGTGCCGTTGTGATCCAATAGAGCTTTCTCCGGCATTGTGCGTGCCTGTTCCTTGAGCAAGCGGCGGAGCTCTTGAGCAATGAGCCTGAAACCAGCCTTACTGCGTCGAAAATTCTCGACGCAAGGCACGATATACCTTGGACCACGTGGCTTTTTCACCTTTGGTTCCTCTCCTGGCTCTTGGTGAGCTGCATGGTACTCTTTGCAGTCCACCAGTGCCCGCTGGCTGGCCTCTAGGTGAATCGAAAAGCTATTTGCAATCTGAAACAGTTCACCCCAAGGTAGTCGGGAATACGCAGCAGGAATGTATTAAAAACAATCCATGTTGACGAATGTGCATGCAAACATTTCAAGGATCCTGCCTTATCCAAAAAGATTTTGCATCCATCCACACCCTTCTTGATGCTGTGCTGCAGCTTCAAAGCCAAATGATCAAACGGCACAACACGACTGTCACTGTCACGAGTGCACTTGTAGACCCCTTCGGTCTCCATCTCTTCCATACCTTGAGCAGTGATGGGCACTGCCTACTGTGGGAAACATCAACCAAGCAAACTCATGTTAAGGGGTCTGAAATGGTTCTCCTTGTGGGGTCTCAGGGAGATGTGAAACCTAAGTAGACCCACCCTTCTGGGTCCATACCCAATAAATCCACATATCCCATCATCATCAAAACATTCTTCTTTACTTGATGTATCTGGATATAAGATGATATAAGTTATAAAAGGTCTAAAATGGTTTCCTTTCAGGGTTACACTTTTGATTTGCATTGTAAGAGCCAAGATCATAACAAATAGACCTTTGTGAGATTTTGTGAGGTCAACCTGGCTTAATCTTCGGTGTCTGAATGGGAATTCCCAAAGTAAAAAACAACATGTCATAGCATGATGCCTATGTATAAAACAGCATGCCCTTCCAGATGACAATATGGTTGAATAGCAATCAACACGTGTTGACTATGTTCAAACATAAACAAATCCATCAAACATTTTCCTCATGTTAAGGGGTCTGAAATGGTTCTCCTTGTGGGGTCTCAGGGAGATGTGCCCTACAACCCCCAGGTGAGACCTAAGTAGACCCACCCTTCTGGGTCCATACCCAATAAATCCACATACCCCATCATAACCAAATAATCATCAAACCATGCTTCTTTACTTGATGTATCTGGATATAAGATGATATAAGTTATAAAAGGTCTAAAATGGTTTCCTTTCAGGGTTGCACTCTTGATTTGGGTTGTAAACCCCAGGTGATCACAAAATAGACCCAGCAATGTTCGGCCATACCCCCAAAAAAAAAATGTGAGGGCAACCTGGCTTAATCTTTGCTGTCTTTGTGGACACTTCCACAATCATAACCCAACATGTCATAGCATGTCTATGCAACACCATGAGGATATGGTTGCATAACCATCAAACACGTGTTGACTATGTTCAACCATAAACAAATCCATCAAGCATTTTCCTGATGTTCAAGGGTCTGAAATGGTTCTCCTTGTGGGGTCTCAGGGAGATGCGCCCTACAACCCCCAGGTGAAACCTAAGTAGACCCACCCTTCTGGGTCCATACCCAATAAATCCACATACCCCACCATCATCAAAACACACTTCTTTTTTTGATGTATCTTGATGATGTATCTTGATATAATATGATATAATATGATGTAATATGATATAAGAGGTTTGAAATGGTTTCCTCTCAGGGTTTGCCTTTTGATTTGGACCAGCTAACCTTTTCTAACTTCCAGATAATGCCGAAATAGAACTACAATTCATAAAATAACCGCATTCCACCCCTTTCCGTGCAGCAAAGCCACGGACAACGCGGAGTGCGCTCAATGAGCCCAAGGGTAAGGGCACAGTAACCAGTTGTGAGTTGCCACTGCGTCCGACCAGGCGTCGCCACACTGAGATGACGATGCAAACATCAAAGTCAAGCCCACACCTGATCACCACCACATCTCCACGATAGATCTGCAACATGCTGGGGAGGGCTGGAGCTATCCTCTTTCTGCATTGCTCGGTGTGTTCTATCCAGGACTGGATGCGGCTCTGTCTGGAGGCAGGCTCTTTGTGGAATGCGTCTAGCCGTGCCAAAGCACTCTGCGCAACATTCTGCCACTTTTGCGGTTTTTGCCAAACCACTTTTCGAGAGGCAAAAGGGCGGGGAACAATGGCAAGATCACACCCCTGGTCCTTGTCATCGCCGATCCTCAAGTAGCACAGAAGATGCCAAAGGCCAGGTAAACAAGAATCCAAATTCTCGCAGCCAGCCAGCACCGCTCGAAGTGTGGTCTTGCGACATGCTGGGGTCTCACCAACATCATCCTTTTCTGGATTCAGCACAGCCTTCGTGGCTTCTGCCACCTCCTTGTCATCTTCGCACTCTTCTGCCAGGTTCTCATGCCAGTTGGGGTTTTGTCCTTCAGGATTTTCTGTGGCATCAATGAATGCCTCAGATGCTCGGATTCTTTCAATGGTGGCCACAGCCTGCTTCCCTGTGTCTTCTTCAACTCCTGATGGTGCACCATGGTTGACACTGGCTTTGACAAATCGCTCAACCATACTGCCCAAACAACATCAGGGTATACAAATGTATACAATACATATCAAATCATATCAATACATTAGAATTCCTTGGCATGTTGGTGGTTGCATCCAACAAATTTCAAGGGTATCATGTGATATCACATGGCCCCACTATGATCCACTATGATCCACTATGCATCATTTTGGTATCTTATGGTATCTTATCCTCTGGCGATGTCAAGTGAGAACAAGCAAACCGGACAATTGAGAAACACTAAAAAAAACATTGGATGCAACTCAACCATGTGAAACACCCCTAGGCCCTTGAGTGGAACGCCCAGGGTGCCCTGCCTGCAAAGGTCTGGCTTAGCTCATCCAAACCACCATCGTCGGGAGTTCTCATCTTGAACATAGCGGTGAGTTCGGAGTCAGTCAAGCCAGAGCATAGGGATGCGAACTTGCGGGCTGCACTGAATGCACTGCTTGTCGTGGACTGAAACTGCTTCTCAGTCAACTTGATGTGCTTGCAGTCTTCCTGTGGTGGCAATTCCAAGTCCAGGTCCTTGCGCATAAGCTGCAAACTGGCTCGCCAAAAATCACCTACACTCATTTGAGCGTTTTGGAAACAGCTCCTGATCCTTCCGAATCTGCATTCGATTTTGCGTTCAGTCAGCTGTTGCCACACCAGAGGCGTTGACTCATCAGAAGCCCACAGGATGCAAATCACTGCACCGCACATGTCACGCAATGTGCCGGCTGTCACCGGATCTACCCATCGTTCTCTCTTTTTGGTGCCTTTGCCTTTGGCAAAGTGTTCGGCCATCATCTCACCGAAATCCAACAGAAGTAGTCCTGACAATGATCAGAAATAAAACCAACATAAATCATCATAAATCAATCTCACAAACAAACCAAAGATGTTGTATTTACCTGAGGCATCCCCGTAAGCCTTGTGAACAATGCATGTGTTGGGTTGAATGAAGCAAAAAAAATTGAAAACACATCATCATACTCTGCAAGCGTCCTACCATAGCCGTTTCCAGTCTCCACAGCGGGTCTGACTGGGAGTGCAGAACCGCTGCTTGGCAGTGGGCACCGATGAGAGAAAAAACCATAGCACCCTGAAGCATCCATGGTATCTCCACCTCCTGCGCTCCTGGGTTTAACACGAAGTTCGCAGGTGACAGCCTCAGCCAACACATTGAGGGCAGGAACTAACTACCTATAAACCGAGAGCTGATGCATATATTGATGCATATTGAAAGTCTATCTGTGCTTGTGTGGCAGGTTACCTGCCAGTTGGTACGCACAAAACCCTGAACATGTTGCACATACAAATGGTTCATATCTGGTTCTTGGTTTCCTGATCTGATCTCATCTGATCTTGTCCCAGGCATCCAAGGTCTGAAATGGTTGTCCCCTGGGTTTCAAATGGGAAATCATTCTTCAAAAAATGGGGAAAACCAAAGTAGACCCTATGGAATCCCTCAAACTCAGATCATTTCAAAAAACTGATTGTATGATGTTGATTGATGTTGTATATATGTCCACTCTGTAATCGCAGGCATTCATTATACATGTTTATAGTTGGCCATTCTGTTTTCATAGTTTTTTTGATATGATCTGAGTTTGAGGGGCTCCATAGGGTCTACTTTGGTTTTCCCCATTTGTTGAAGAATGATTTTGGAATTTAAACCCAGGGAACAACCATTTCAGACCCTTGATGCCAATGGCCAATATATGAGAATATATAATGAATGGCCAGATATATAATGCATTCATTATACATGTTTATAGTTGTGACTTTGTTTTTCTCATATATTGGTGGTCTACTATGGTCTACTTAGGTTTTCCCCATTTGTTGAAGAATGATTTTGGAGTTGAAACCCAGGGGACAACCATTTCAGACCCTTGATGCCAATGGCCAATATATGAGAAAAACAAAGTCACAACTATAAACATGTATAATGAATGCATTATATATCTGGCCATTCATTATATATTCTCATATATTGGCCATTGGCATCAAGGGTCTGAAATGGTTGTTCCCTGGGTTTAAATTCCAAAATCATTCTTCAACAAATGGGGAAAACCAAAGTAGACCCTATGGAGCCCCTCAAACTCAGATCATATCAAAAAAACTATGAAAACAGAATGGACCATAGTAGGCCATTGCTGAATGATCTTCAGTGGCTAAACCATACACATGCATAATCATGCATGCATGTTATGCCAAGAAACCAAAGACCAGACTGACGATCTGACATCGTGTCAGTGCCCTGGAACGCCACAGGGTAGAGCCCTAGTTCCAGGGCTCCTGACCAGTCTGACCACAAGAGTCCGAATGTTGGTGTGGACAATGAAGATCTCAGTTGTTCCGTCCAATTTTTCTGAGCATGAGCTGGCCCAGGTACAAAATGGACAGGGCTAGACCCCTGCAGGGCAATCCTGTACTTGACCACAAATCGGCACTCAGGTAGGTCTTCAAAGCGGAGTGTCTTGAAGAACGGGACCAAGTCCATCAACTCCTGGGGAAGGTCGATGGTGCGCCCCAGCAACCAGCTTGCAAGCCAGTTGTGACTTCCGTGCTTGTCGGCTAGTATAAACCGAACAGAGTCAGCTGCCTCCAGCACTCCACCAATCCTGTGGAGTACCTCCCACTGTCCGCGCTGCTTGGATGGTGCACTTGCACGAGCCTCAAAAAATCCATGCCTGTCTGCCTGGGCGGTGACCGGAAAAGCACCAATTTCGAAGATGCCACTTTTGCACCTTGTGGGGTCCCAGAGAACAACAGATTCGATATCTGTTGCTTTGGTGCGATCTTTGTCCACCTTCTGCGGTATCACGTGTCCAGCCCGGTCTTTGAGCACCTTTTGCGACTCGTCAGGTAAATCAAAATCTGCACAGCGGTGCGGGCCACCCAGCAAGACGTGGCCTTTGCTGGTAGTACACAACTGTGAACAAGCCTGTAAATAAGTTTGATCAAAGCAAAGGGCAAGGCGCCGTTGGGCACAAGTTGGCTTGCGTGGGAGGAAAGTTGATGAAATCAGGTGATTTCCCTCTCTCATCTCAGCCACACTGGGTGCCGTAAACAATGGAAACCCTTCAAACTGCAGGCACCCCCGCCAATCATTTCTGGTCATCCATTGTAAACCAAAAAACTCAAGGGCTGCATGGTTCGAACCATGGCACGCCATTTCTGTGCCAGTCTGAATGAGCAAACGCCGCTCTTCCTCACTACCTCAGGATGGCATAGGATGGCTGTGGATGGTTGTCATGTTACATGTTGGATCATGTTGGTAGGACCTCTAGGGCACTTAGGCATCTAATGGCATCTGGGCACATTACAGGCCATGAACATCAACATGTGTTGCCTTCTTCTGGGTTTCTAACATTTTCTAACTAGGTGTTCAAAAGACAAATGGTTAACATATGTGAACATCTTGTTCTAGGTTTGTTGATGTGATCTGATCGTTTCCCGGACAGCCAGGGTCTAAAATGGTTCTACCACAGCTACCACCTGTAAAATATTTATTCAACAACTGGGGGACACCAAAGTAGACCCCATGGAACCGCTATAAATAAGAAACTAGAAACAGTTATAAACGTAAATAATGCATTATGATGCCTTATGTATCATTATGTCTAAGATTAAATGATGGCCATTGGTTACCGATTTTCAAACAACATCTAGCATGTATACTGCATATCCCACAAAGAAACACGAAACTATCCAAACCATGAGTTCAACCAATAACAAGATTTCCCTTGAAAGTTATCCCAGGCATCCAAGGTCTGAAATGGTTGTCCCCTGGGTGTAATTTCCAAAATCATTCTTCAACAAATGTGGAAAACCAAAGTAGACCCTATGGAACCATATGGATCCATATGGTACCCTCAAATTCACATCATATCAAACAACCAGTAAAAGATAACAAACAGTTATAAACATATACAATGAATCTCTGGCATGGCGTGGCCACATGTTGCCATTATTTATCAATGAGGTTAACACATGTTAACAGTTAACACATGTTAACAGTTAACACAAAGGCACCAACAATGGACAAGGAGCGGTGCGGGTTTCGCATCGTCGTGGTACCTTGCTCTTCGCCTCTGATTTTGCTCATACAAGCAACCAGCACTCCCTGAAGGATGGGATGTCTACTGAAGCTGCCACAAATCACGGATCTGACAAGGTCCACCTCATAGGAATTCACCGTGGGGTCGCGGTGCATGTACTGGACCAGTTGCTTCAGGTACAGGTGCTTGATGGAGTGGCCAGGTTCGCAATCCAAACAAGGCTTGATCACCTGAGCTGTCCACAGATGCAAAGCCGCTGTGCCACATTCAGGAACAGCTGCCCGTCCAGTCCAAAAGCACCGGACTTTGTAGTGCAGCTTTTGCACGGGGTACTCCATAAACTCTTCGTACAGAGTCTTGTGCCTTCGCAGATAGCACACAGATTGCCTGAGTTTGGCCATGAAACTCTCCACCTCACCATCTCTGAACATGCGGTGGTGAAGCAGTTCCCCCATGTCCATGTTCAAGATCAGGCCGGTCACTTTGGACAGGAAGCGAGGCTTGCTGCCAAGCTCAAAACACTGGCGGCAGGTCACATCACCATCTTCCGTGGTGAAGACCTGACACAGGATGTTCTGCATGGTCAAGCTATTCAGGATTTCACAATGGGTCTGCCAGACCTACCAACTTATCTTTCACAATAATTTCGAAGCACTAAGGTGCATCACCAGGGTCTGAAATGGTTGGACTGGAGGCATCCAGCAATGATCAAATGCTATTAACAAGGGCAACTTCCAAATAGACCCTTGGGAATCTTCAGGACATGATAGGACCACACCATACCACACCATTCTGATTTGGCCCAACCCAAGCCCTTAACAGTCTTTACTCCTGCTGGGAGGTGATAACATGAAGACACTTATCCAAACATGAACCCGAAAGCACAAGTAAGCGCAGATAAGCAGAGCGTATACTAAACATTACTAAACATTGTGAACCAAGGCCCAAAAACCTAACCAGCCCATCTGCTGTGTCAAGAGACTGGTCCAGAGCCAATGCATGTTGTAGCTGTCAGAATCCAGTCGCCAGTGTCGCAAAGGCTCTTCACACTGTGGGTGGCGATCTTGGTGACGCAGTCGATGGTGTCGGTCCTACGTCTTGCAAACCAAACTCATGTTTTGTATATTAAACGAAGGGGGCATGGACAGGCACTGAATGAAACACGTGTTGACTATGCTCAACCATAAACAAATCCATCAAGCATTTTCCTCATGTTAAGGGGTCTGAAATGGTTCTCCTTGTGGGGTCTCAGGGAGATGTGCCCTACAACCCCCAGGTGAAACCTAAGTAGACCATAGTAGACCCACCCTTCTGGGTCCATACCCAATAAATCCACATACCCCATATTACATCATATTACCCATCATACCCCATCATCATCAAAACATGCTTCCATAATGTTCCCAAATGTTCCCAATACATTCCGGCCAGTCCTCAGCGATTTGTCTAGATTCGCATACTGGGTGTATGCCTTCCACACCGGAAACAAATCGCTGCCCAAGCGGGTTTTACGCCCAATGTGGCTTTGGAGGCGTAATCCCAAGCACTTTCCAAGGGGAAGTGGGTCTGCAGAGTCTTCAGCTTTTTCCTCCTTCACGTCCTCATCCACAGCCTTGACTTCCCCCACAGCTTCCTTGCTTCTCCATCGCCGTCGGTGTTCCTGCCCACTGGTGTGCTGGACAATTTTTGCCCTGTTTCTGCCAGAGAAAGTTTTGTTGCACCACTTGCAGAAGATCGGGTAGGTGATCGCCTTCTTCGTCCCCTCACTCTTCTCACCGAACTCACCCACTAGATCGGGTATCTTCTCCACAACCTGCAGGTTGTGGTAAGATATCAGTTCAGCCTTGCACATCCTCTCTTCAAGCTGCTCCACCTTTTGCTCCGTAGCTTCTGCCTTGCACTCCGTCCCTTCAATCTTCACTTCCTGCTTGATCTTCTTCTCCGCATGTTGAGCAGGATCAGCACTGGTTGCGCGCTTCACTTTCAAAGGCTTGCAGTTCTTCGCAGTCTCCACCTGATTGATCTTCTTCTGAACCAGGTCTTTCACAGCAGCAATGGTATTCGGCAAAAGCGCGGCAGTCAGATCCGCATCTTCCAGGAACTTGTTGCAAATGGTGCAGATGGCAGGCCAATTTCCGTTCTCCTGGGCAGCAACAGTCATGTTGAAATGCTGCGCATCACATGAAAGAGGTTGGTCTACTTCGCAAGGTCTAAAATAATTACCCTGGAGCTCTTCGGTACTGGTAAATTGGCTGCAGTTGTGTTTCAACAATAATAGACCCTTGAAAGTGAAACAGGTTCACAACCAATTTCAAACCTACAAGCAACACGAAACAACTACCTATACAGGCTATACAAACCCATGCAAGACCAGCATGGACACCCCAAAAAAATCGAAGGCATCACCAGGATGATGACAATGCCTAAAATAGACCAGCCTGGTGCAACCTAGCAGCACTCCAGGGTCTGACATGGTTGGACTGGAGGCATCCAGCAATGATCAAATGCTATTAACAAGGGCAACATCCAAATAGACCCCTTGGGAATCTTCAGGACATCTTAGGCCCACATCATTCTGATTTGGCCCAACCCAAGTTGTTTATAGTTGTTTATAGTTGTTTCATATTGTGACTATTCTCCAAATGTGACCTTTCACACAGCCCAAACACTTGGATGTGACCGAGCATCCAAACCAGCCCAAAATGTACACCAAGTGCCACTTTCACACATAGCCTGACCACGCCTTAGAGAGAAACAATGAACAAATTACCGAGAAAACACTCCTGCACCCATCATCACACATCAGGACCCACCATGATGTCACAGGGAAACATCATTATCCAAGCCTAACCAAACAGGCAAAATAACTCACCAAGATCATTCAACATGCAGCACACTGAAGCAAAGGCCAAAGCACACAAATACCAGCTCCTGTATGTGCGCCTTCACCCACCTGTGATAGGTGACACCACGTTCACCCAGGTACTTGGCAAACTCTTTGGGGAATGTGATGGTCTGTGCAGCCGGAAGCGGTTTGCCAGTGCGTTTCTTCTTCACCTTCTCGGCCGTCTCGGCCTTGCCAGGCTCACCGGTGGCTGGCACAATCTGGGATTGCTCCGCACTGATGATAATGGAATGCGGCTGGGCCTCTCCGCAACCAAGTAGTGAACCAGAATCACCTTTATCAGGAGTAAAAGGCACATCCTTCCTGCGCCTCTTTGCTGAAGGTGGAGTTGGCTTCCCTGGGGGTGTCATGGGACTGGCCTGCATCTTCTGGTTCCTCTTTGGTCGAGAGGATCGACAAGGAGTGCTGAATTGCTCAGGTTCTGCATCTTCTCTCCAGGCTGTCAAATCAACCCTGCCATCTACAAAACGCATAAGTATCTGCTGCCAGAGAGGGTCATCCTGAACACCCTGCCAGTAAAGTTTGATTTCCTCCCTGTATGCTGACACAATTGCATCCACATCTTGACGACAAGCACCTGGGCCGGTGTTGGTCGAGAATGGGCTGTTCTCAGCAAATGCGACAGCAGTATGGATGCCGCAGTCTCCGTCTCCAGCAGTGGGCTTGGAAACAATTCCAAAATTGTCGCGCAATGCACCAATCATCTGGCACAAGTTCTCATACTGCACCTGGGTTTCATCGATGTTGAAGTGGATGCTCTGCAAAAGGTCATGATCATCAGAATCATGAGGGTCCATGTCTTGGATCTGCTGCTTCAATGCTTTCTGCTTCTCCAGCATCCGGGACTTAGCGTCCACCAATGTGCCCCCCACCAGTGAATCTACATCAATGGTCTCTGGCAACTCACTTGCGTACCACCCAGGCACCCAGCGCACACATTGTTCAAGATCACATGTTGAGGAGTACATAGGTGAGCAAAGGATGGCAATGCGACAGGCCGAACCGTCATCCCGCTTGCTCACCACTGGCACGTCCGCCCGCAGGTCCTCATCCACCACCCCACGGACAAACTCTGTGGCATCTTGAAGCTGGTTTTCTCCTGGCTGCCAGGCTATGCTTCAAATAGAAACGACCTGGTTTTCATTTCATCTGCGACCACCACCTAGATGTCACAATTTGTTAGGGGTCTGAAATGGTTCTCCTTGTGGGGTCTCAGGGAGATGTGCCCTACAACCCCCAGGTGAAACCTAAGTAGACCCACCCTTCTGGGTCCGTACCCAATAAATCCACATACCCCATCATAACCAAATAATCATCAAACCATGTTTCTTTACTTGATGTATCTGGATATAAGATGATATAAGTTATAAAAGGTCTAAAATGGTTTCCTTTCAGGGTTGCACTCTTGATTTGGGTTGTAAACCCCAGGTGATCACAAAATAGACCCAGCAATGTTCGGCCATACCCCCAAAAAAAATTGTGAGGGCAACCTGGCTTAATCTTTGCTGTCTTTGTGGACACTTCCACAATCATAACCCAACATGTCATAGCATGTCTATGCAACACCATGAGGATTTGGTTGCAAAACCATCAAACACGTGTTGACTATGTTCAACCATAAACAAATCCATCAAGCATTTTCCTGATGTTCAAGGGTCTGAAATGGTTCTCCTTGTGGGGTCTCAGGGAGATGTGCCCTACAACCCCCAGGTGAAACCTAAGTAGACCCACCCTTCTGGGTCCATACCCAATAAATCCACATACCCCATCATAACCAAATAATCATCAAACCATGCTTCTTTACTTGATGTATCTGGATATAAGATGATATAAGTTATAAAAGGTCTAAAATGGTTTCCTTTCAGGGTTGCACTCTTGATTTGGGTTGTAAACCCCAGGTGATCACAAAATAGACCCAGCAATGTTCGGCCATACCCCCAAAAAAAATTGTGAGGGCAACCTGGCTTAATCTTTGCTGTCTTTGTGGACACTTCCACAATCATAACCCAACATGTCATAGCATGTCTATGCAACACCATGAGGATATGGTTGCATAACCATCAAACACGTGTTGACTATGTTCAACCATAAACAAATCCATCAAGCATTTTCCTGATGTTCAAGGGTCTGAAAAGGTTCTCCTTGTGGGGTCTCAGGGAGATGTGCCCTACAACCCCCAGGTGAAACCTAAGTAGACCCACCCTTCTGGGTCCATACCCAATAAATCCACATACTGTACCCCATCATACCCCATCATCTTCATCATCAAAACATGCTTCTTTACTGGATGTATCTGGATATAAGATGACCAATTACAATGTTTGCAGTCATGATTCATTCATGCCCTGCCCCCACCACATCCATCCACATCCCATGCTTCACATTCGTGTCCTTGCTTCCAAACCAAGACCTTGAGTTCAAAGGACTTCTTGACCGCAAAAAGGAAAATGTCAGGGAATTCGAGGTAGACTCCCTTCTGGGCAACGCGTTTGGACCAGGCCCTCACATCCCGGCTTCCGAAGCCTCAGCGCCCACATGGAGGAAATGGCAAGGGGGTAACATTAATAACTACGCAGGTATGCTAAATATTGAAGCCACACCTCTCACATAACCTCCACCAACCAAATTAGCCATCGGAAGTATATACTGTATATATAAATATAATATATATATATTTAATTATATATATACGTTCGTGCAACCAGAGCACCACCAGGAGCATTATCCCAAAGATCTGTCATTCTTTGGAAGCGAGTCATCTCTTCTTCCATGGCACTCCAGCCAGTAGCCGGCACTGGCCTCAGAGTCTTCTCCGGTGTGAGCACGCCTGGCAGCCAATGCGTGGACTCAGTAGAGGCATTCACATGGATGGAAGTGGTGTAAACATGTGTAACACCCATGGGTTTATGTCCTACAAAACCAGAAAGGACAGAAGGCTAAAAAGGAACACGCCATCCCAGTAGTGTCTGGCTGAGACAGCAGCTTAATGCTAGTGATGCTGGTGCTTTAACATTTCTGAAGATTAAGCTGGCCAGGCTGATTGCGGCGGTTCTCCCGCCTCTTCCGTGCGAACTGTCAGCAGCAGAGTCTTTGGCATCCAGGTGACCTCAGGCATAAAGAAACAGGCAGAAAGACATGATTTAATGAGTTCACCCTAAGGACCCCTTTCAAGGGAAATCTTCTTAAAATTTCATCAACATATTGATAAAACACGGGAATCATGTCTTAATCACAATCAAACCTCCCAGGCACTTCTCCTGATGTTCATGGGTCTGAAATGGTGTTCCTTCTATTTTTAGGAATGAAAAGGAACTGCAACCCCCAGGTGAAACCAAAGTAGACCCACTAAGTTGAGTAAACTCGAGTCCACACCCAAGCAATCCAAATGTCTGATAATCATCTGAAAACGTCTTCACTATGTTCAAACACAATGAAACCTCCCAGGCACTTCTCCTGATGTTCATGGGTCTGAAATGGTGTTCCTTCTATTTTTAGGAATGAAAACCAACTGCAACCCACTGGTGAAACCAAAGTAGATCAACTAAGTTGAGTAAACCCAAAGCAAAGTGGCAGCCCCTTTTTCAAGCGTTCACCTACCGTTCGCATCCGTTCGCCACCCTGAACCAGGTGTGAATTCTCTGCTCCAACATACTCAAACTACATCCGTAAAAGATGGACCTTGTCTCTAAAAGATAGATCCTTCTTCCATTCTATTCCAACCTACTGTAGACATCATGTAGACATCTGTAGACAATTCTAGATGATCCACGACGATCCTAGACAAACCTGTGGCCACCAGTGGTGAATTCCATGAGTCCGAAAAACGGGGACCTACTCTTGTCATCTCTTGTCAAGGAGTGCTTGGAACCCGCATGAGCACCTCCCAGTTTGCATGTGCTACTATGGACTCAACATTAGCTTCGCTTGGGACAAACGTCTAATTGTGTGCTAGGATTGGCAGTCACTGTCAAGCATGGGTTGGGCACACCAATGTTGCATCCCGGAAGGCCATCACCTCCATGCGTGCACTGAAGTGCTGGCTCAACAAACTTTGGAACTTGCAAGCCAACTAAACCTATCCAAAAGTCTTCAAAACCATGAACATGGGGTGAGTCATGGTGAGTCTATGTGAGTCTCAATTTCCTGATCAATCAAAAACTTCTTTTTCACCATCAACAAAAGCAAATGTTGCGCAAGAATGTGTAAGAATACTGATTGTTCAAGTACTTCCAATCCAT